ACTAAAGGTAAACACAGAGTAATACTAAAATTAAAACAAAAATACACAGTATAGATGTAATATCAACTATACACATTAGAGATATAAAATAAACAGTGCGCTATAGTGGGCAGAATCATGGCCTGTCAAACCTGTGAATATGTTACTTTACATGGCAAGCAAGACTTTGCAGATGTAATTAAGAAGATTAACATGGATTATGTAGGTGGGCTTAATTTGATCACACTAATCTCAACAGCTGAGAAACTTTTCCACCTGTGGACAGAGAATGGCGATGGCAGAACACATGCTGGAGAGATAGGGAAGGCCTTGCTGTCTTTGAAGGGACCACAAGCCAAGGACCATGGGTGACTGCTAGAAGTTGGAAAAGGTAAGGAAATAGACTCTCTCCTAGATCCTCCAGAAAGAATGCTGCCAGCAAAACCAAGGTCTTGATTGCAGTCCAGCAAAACCCAGGTCCAACTTCTGACTCCAGAATTGTAAAATAGTATGTGTTGTTTTAAACCACTATGGTTATGATACTTCACCAGAGCAGCATAGAAAACTAATATAATAATTGAAAAATCAACAAATGAGAGAGCATCATAAAAGCGGGAAAGGAAAAATCTTAAATATTGCAGGAATCACTAGAAACAATATGAAAACATTTAAATAAATACCTTAAACTTAACACATAATTACAACCTATATATTAATTTGTAGTTTATTTAGAATTTCTAGGACTATAAATCAGTTATAGAGATAAGTTAATGAATGAACATCAAGATGAAGTTCAAACGCAGTCCTTGTTATTAGCACAGATGTATACAAAATACAGTTTTGTAAACATCCTTTCCAGTAAGAAAAGAAATAGTCTTTCTAATAAATACCATTCCTATTAAAAATGGATATTGCAATAGCTAATAAATAATGCTATCTTAGGAAGAACTCAGCATAAATATTATTTCACCTACCTCTCCCTAACATAACTCCCAACTGTATGTCCATCAGAGCCTTAAACAGAAATTTCCAACTAGCCAACCTTGCTGTGATCTAGAGGCTAATCCCACCAGAATCTGTAGGAGGCTAAAAGTCTAGACTCTAACCAGACATTGTTCCCAAGAACTGGAATGTAAACTCTATAAGGATAGAGATCTCTGCTAATTTTGTATACCACTATATTCCTAGCACCTAGAACAGTACCAGTTACATAGTAAGTACCTAGTAAATACTTGCTGGCCCAAAAAAATAAGGATGCCGCAGGCCCGGGATTTCAAGCCAGGTTTTCTGACCCCTAAAGTCTATTACCCTTTTCTGACTCCAAATTTTATCAGAGAACATCCTGTTTTCTGTTTGACTAATTGAAAAGCAATGTTCTGCCAACAATTTAGCCAAAGAGAAAAAAAGTAGCATTCAACAGGTATAGTCAAAAGATCATGAACTACCTACAGAGTAACCAATCTAAACAAACACTAACAATAAGACAGCACTGCATGAAAGTTCTCAGGTAGATGGTTAACTATTTATGCAAAAGGAAAGGAAATTTTTCACTAAGGTAAAATTTCTCAAGAGTCTCTATTGGTCTATAAATAACTATATCCTAGATATAAAATATAAACTTCATTTCAAACTAAGAAGAAAAGTTTAAGCAAAAAAAAAAAATGTTTATTCAAGACATTCACATTTTCAAAACTGTTCAAACCTGTTCTTTCTTTCTCTTCTCCCCTTGTGAAGAGATTAGAAAGGTTCGTGCACAGATTTGTGCTCCAGGGTGGGAGAAGGTGTGGAGGTTACTGCCAACAACAATGGTGCTTCTGACCCACGGGAGGATAGGCTTTACTTCTGGTTTTGATTTTCTGTCATTTTCTTTACATGCATCATCACACAAATAATATTAATCACAACTAGATAATTTCAGGAGACAGTGGGACAGATGATGAAAAAAAGGCCCAGGGGTCAAATCACCATTTACCATGTGCTCTTGTTGTATTGCTGGCTCTGATTACTAAAACAAAAATTAAAGGCCCCATTTCTAAAGGCTTATAGTGATGGAAATTAACATGTTATGATACAGTAAGATTTCTCTTTACCTGTTAAATATCTTCTTAAATGCTTACTCCATGAGTACTTTCAAATATGGATGAGTCTTTTAACTCAAGTATGCAGTAAATAACTTGCTCACCCAAGCTTGGTCTAGAATTGACACATCCTCCCTTGCATTATGAAGTTACTTAGATAAATCCTAGCAGAAGGCAAAAGCACAGAATTCAGTTATAGCTGTTCTTTCTTCTACCTCCGTTAACATGCTCCATCATAGAAATTTTGTGAAGGGGTAACATTCTTTACACAGTCCGTAAACCAATCGTGCCCTAGAATTCCAAACTTTCTAGTAAAAATAGCATCCCAAGTCATTGAATTTAAACATTTTTTTATACTTAAGAATTATTTTTCTTGGTATAAAATAATTCATTTCTTTATTTCATTGAAACTCATTAAATTTCAGGATGTTTCTGACTTTTTAGCAATTCTAACAATTCCATTCAGAAGATAAAAGTATGACTCCAAGATGAAATCTCTAAATGTTAAATAATAGATGACTTTAGTTTTCTAATCTAAAATTTTTTTCAAAATTCTCAGTTCTATAGGCATAATTTTCATACATAAAAAAGTTAATAATTACAAATAAAATGTCACATAGCTGGTACAGGACAAAAGTGCTCTATGACATGATGTTGACAATGAAGTATCTTGCATTTTAGTAATACTTAATGCTGGTGAATATATTATTAAATTACAACCCTAAAATGTTGATGCTAATGTGATCCCACTTTGGGAAAGTTTTCACAATACACTAATTTTAAATTAAAATAAAAAGTCCACTGGGAGGCATTAATGTATTATGTATATTTTCTAAAAATTAGAAAATAACATATTCAATAATTAAGAAATAGTTAAGTAAATTGTGGTATATCCTTTAATAGAAAATCATTGCTGGATTTTAAATGTTTTAAAAGCTCATGAAATAACATAGAAAAATAAGGATACAAAATACTTATACAATTATAATTAAAAGAAGCAAAGATTGTAAGTCTGAAAAGAATAAGCAAAGTCATAATAACTGCATTAGAGTGATAGAAGTATTTTCTTTCTATTCACTTTTCAAAACATTTATTCTTATTTCCCCAATTATAAATGAACAAAATAAAGTAAGTCTAAGGAACGTCAATGGTAATAAAATGGGACTACATGACAGACAAAAAGCATTCTAGATTAATCAGGAAAAAAAACAATGTCTATTTGCCAGTGCCACAACTTTGTATTATCTCCGAAAGATTGTCTTTTCATTAACAACATTGATGTCCTCCCTTGTACTGTATCTGGAGGATTTCCTCTACATCCAGCAAACACTAAGCTCTTCCTTGCATGCAGTAGACTTCAAAAAATATTACGACAACATAGGCAGAAAAGAGGCTTTTGACACACTAAAAGAAATTCTGCTGTTCTAGGAACCTAATTCCTTGAGATGAAATCTAAGATGAACTCCAAGCTTTTAACCACATTCCATGTCTAAAACAAGAGTTCTAACTAGTTTCCTATTTCCCTAACACAGCAGGAGTATGTGTATAGAGAAAGTTAGTCTAACGTGAAAAGATAATTCAGGAGTCCCATATTCATTTCATTCCTTAAACCAAGAGAAATCAAATGTAAATAAAAAAACAATGAACACAAACTAAAGTTACCAAACATTCAGGTTCTGTTTGTTTAAAGTGAGAATGTTTGTTCAAAGATTATTAAATTTGCTAATGGGGTAAGGACTTCTTACTATTAAGATTATTAAATTTGCTAATGGGGTAAGAACCCCAAGGTTCTCTCTCACAATAGAGAACAAGTTCATAACGCAGAGAACCCAACCTAAGAACTTGTCCACAGTACATCAAGTAAGGAAGACTCCATAATACAACTCAAGTCAGATACCAATTCTTCTTCATATAAGTTTTTTCCATGAATATACAATATTTTTGTTTTTTAAAAATATTAAAGTTTTTTTTCTTTTTAAGAAGATCATTGGTGAGCTGACTGAGTACAGCTTCAGTGGAAAGGTGGGAAGGAAGAAGCATTACCATTTGACCCACAAATATTGACTAAATGCCAACTACCATGGAGCATTTTATGAATAATGTTTAGCTACAAAAAATAAGAAAGAGATCAAATAGTAGTCCCTCACCTCATAGAGCTGATTTCCTAAAAGGAAAAAAAAAGCAGGCCACCAACAAAAATACAATAGCAAGACTCTTTGAGTCAGTCAACAAACATTTATGAGTGCCTACTGTGTGCCAAGCATGCAGGAAAGGCTGGTGAAACATGGTGAGAGATGGGAAAAAAAAGAAAAGAAAAGACTGAAAAGCTGTCCTAGTGAGGCTAACAACTGAAATAGGGAGGGGAGTTTTTCTCAGCGAATCCTGCTGATCTAAGTAAGCCTAAAATCATAACTCTGCACTAAGAGAGCAAATGCCAGGAGCTGCACCGCCAGCAAAGGGAACCCACAGACACAGAGACGGGATTAGGGAAAAGTGTACAGAGTGTCACAGGTGGCTTCACAGAATGTTCTGCTAGAGCAGAAATGTGAGAGGAGGCAGAGGGAAGTGGGGCACTCCACAAAAGGCATCTGTACACCAGGGAATCCAAGTAAGTAGTTCACCGGGGTGGGAAAATTATAATGATACAGAAGGAGATAGTAAAGGGCAGCCAGAAAAAGACAGGTCATTAAAGGATATGAGTTCCACATTACGGCTTTTTATTGTGTTACTCTTTCCTAATGAGAGATCCTAAGACAAGTTTTTGTGCTAAGATAAAAGTTACAAAGACATGATAAAGTTTTAGGAGCAATAATGAAAATATGTTTAGGATAGCTCTAAGTGTCACATGGCTTCTAAATAACCCAGACATAGAAAATAAAATGTTCAGCCATTTGTGTGTTAACCATATAAGATTTTCTGTACTCCCATCATGTCCAAGCTCACCCCAATGATACTCAGTCCTTTAAGGTAGTCCTGACGAGGCTGGGCTTGAGGAACACATCCAGCCAGCACTACTTTCTTGTTCTCCTCTTGAGCTTTTCTAAAAGATTAAAGAGAAAACAGTGTGAATTCTTTTGCTCACAAGAATTTTGCTCCAAATTACCCTTGGAAACTGTTGTTAGTGCATAGAAGCTCTCCAAATAATAACAGGCCCGTCTAACACAAAGCAGGATTTTCTTGCAACTACTTTAAGAAAGTATATTGTGATAAGACTTCTGTATTTCGTCTACTTATCAGACCATACAATAGCAGTCCAATCTGATAATGTAGTTCATTATCATCACTATGAAACAAAAAAAAACATCCCTTATCCATGATTCTCAAACATCACTTAGACATGAAGGACTCAAGATTATGAGTCATTCTTGAAAATCACATTTTCCAGATAGATAAGCTAACCCCTTCAAATACATTAATTATTTTAATTATTCATGAAAATATGCTTTAAAATTAATATATTCTTTCCCTTTTTTTTGCACAAAATAAAAGTAAAGTCAAGCTTAAGAAAATTCAGACAGGAGAGAAGAATACACAGAAGCCATGATACCCAACATCCTGGCAGCCCCAAATCAACCTAGACCTGCTCCCCAGAGAACATTTATAGGTACTGATTGCTTAGGCTCACCTCCAGACTCCAGAGTCCCTCACATATGCAATCATACATGTGCAAACAAACTTATGTTTACATATATATAAAATCATATATATGTATGATTATCAAAACCTACATGTGAAACTATGCTCATTTGTGTAGCTATTTCCCAAGCATAAATTCTAAGAAGTAGAAATGCTGGTTCAAACATATACACTATCTAGTTGTTTCATCTTTTTTCATCTAGTTGTTTCATTAAGTGTTTATTTACTCTAGAGAAAGCTGGCACTGTATTTTTTATGTGGACGTTATCCATTCATTCGGGCATGTGTGTACACAGCAAATATACATGTTGTGCTTAGAAGATAGCAGTGAACAAAGCAGAACTCATATTTCCTAGAAACTGTTCATGTCCTCATTTTGGATATGTTCATTTTTGAATTAAATTTTCAATTTGGGGCGACGCCTGTGGCTCAAAGGAGGAGGGCACCGGCCCCATATGCCAGAGGTGGCCGGTTCAAACCTAGCCCCGGCCAAAAACTGCAAAAAAAAAAAAAAAAAAACCAAATTTTCAATTCTTCAATTCTTCTTTCAGTTGTGTGACACTGCATTTTATGCACCAAATTTGGCCCCTAGCTCACATAGCAATCTGTAGGTTTCTAAAACCAAATGAGAAAGCTGCGGTAATTAGCAACCCCCTTTCTAGATGTGGGACTTTAGACTGTACTACTATGAAGTGAAAAGTTCTACACTTTGGACACGTTTTGTCAACTTTTTCAAGAGTACAAATTCAAAACTATAAACTAACAACAAATTGGGATTGCCAGGACTGGCTCTCTGAGCTAAACAGCCACATCACAATCTTCTGGGAAGTCTTCAGAGAAGGAGCAAATGAAAGAACAGACAGTGTACAAAACACTGTGCTAACAGCAACTGTGCTTGCATCTTGGTAACTTCTTGGAGCACTTACATATCATTTTTCTACTTGGGATCCTGAAACAACTTCACAAATTTTTAAAAATCTGATTTTAGTAGATCGCATAACAACATCCAAGAGGGCTCGGCGCCTGTGGCTCAAGCGGCTAAGGCGCCAGCCACATACACCTAAGGTGGTGGATTCGAATCCAGCCCGGGCCTGCCAAACAACTATGACGGCAGCAACCAAAAAAAAAAATAGCCGGGCGTTGTGGTGGGCGCCTGTGGTCCCAGCTACTTGGGAGGCAGAGGCAGGAAACTCGCTTGAGCCCAGGAGTTGGAGGTTGCTGTGAGCTCTGATGCCACAGCTCTCTACCCAGGGGCACAGCTTGAGGTTCTGTCTCAAAAGAAAAAAAAAAACAAACAACACCCAAGAGAATTACTACCTGGCTCTGCCCCCTTGGTTTTTCTTTTTTTATTGGTACCAAGCATGTCACTGCACATAAATACCTGTCTTACAGTAAATGAAAAATAACTTACCAAACCCCCACCCCCCAAAAAAACTTTCCATTTTCATTAGCAATCTACACAAAAACGCTGACATCTGGTTTCTTCATGAACTTTAGTTGTAACACCTGGAATCACTGCCCAGTATCCAAGAGAGCCTCCGAGATCATTGATAGTGATCAAATCCAAATTAAAAAGCCTGCTTTTACAGCCAGCTTCCTATAATGCAATTCAATTACTTAAGAAGCACATCTAAGACATTGTGGTGAGTAGTTAAGGGAACCTAACAATGAAGAAGTCAAACCCCTTCTGCTCACCAAGTCTACAGTGTGCAACATCTGAGATGTCAAAACATAACCAACACAGAAGCAAGTAAGATGACAGAGAAGTGTACAACTAACCTCATGAAGGGCAAAAGAACGTGCAGACAAAAACACACGAGGAAAAGTTCCACGAAGAAATCCAGGAGGGTTTTATTGGCAGATAGGCATAGGAGAGGATGAAACGGAGGCCAAGAAAGCTCTAGGCATTTGTTACAGCGTGAAGACAGATGGGGGGGGGGGAGGATTTCACTCTAGAAAGCAGTTCTACATATGGAAAAGCTACGGGACTTATACTGTGGAAGGAGCCTTAAGGAAGAGGCTGAGAATCTCTAATTTAGTAAGCAAAGGGGAAGTCTCTTCAGTTTGGGTGGCAGAGGGGACACAGGGTAAAGCCAAACCTTGAGAACATGACACTGGAAGAATGAAGCAAAATGAAATGCAAGGGGAAAAGGAGCCAAGAGGTGGAGAAATTAAATTAATACACTACACAAAGGAATGTGAGGAAATAATGTAGCATGTTGCGTTTCCATTCTATCATTCATTCATGTACTACATGCCAGACGTAAGGAAAAACAAAGGTAAAAAGATAGTTATTAATCTCAAGTTCAAGCTCATAGTTGAGAGCAGGAAGGGAGAAATGGTCTTTAGAAGTCAGGTTTTCAAAGCAAGGAAAGAAGAGAGGTCTGGACGTGGGTAGTAAGGAGAGCTGAGAGCAGCCCTCCAAGGCCAATCAGCATGCACCTCTGTCAAGAGACCTAGGATACCAGGGTCGTGAAGAAGAGGCAGCTGTCCCTGAACGCAGGGCTGCACCACGCACTCTGAGGAACCAGGCCAGTGGCACTGGGAAAGCTGAGCAGCTGAGATAGCAATGTGGACTCTGACTGTGTGTTCATCCACTTCAGGGAGCAAGGGTCTGCGACAGATTTTGTTTGAAGAAAAAAAAAATATGGCTTTATTTTAAGGGGGAAGAAGTGAAATCTACAAGGATATAGGTTCTGTGAAGAGGCTAAAAGGTTTAAGGAAAGTTGCTTCACTATAGAAAGGGAGATTCTGTGAGACACACAAAAAGGTTACAAGGGCAAAGTTATGGGGACGGGGGAAATGACAGGAAGAACGCAAAGGAGGTGTCAGCAAAAATCAAAAAATTGTGACTATGGGGCTTGCACCCAGGCAGAGGATGAGAAGCACGATTAAAGTACTAAAAGCACCAGGTTTAACTAATCTCATGGTCCCCTTTTGTAGACAATGGGAATGATTCCTTAGGCTTATAGGGCAGAGGCTTTGCACTGAATCCTGCCTGGCTGGCTGTTAAAGGTCATCCTCCCTGCAGAAAATTGGCATTTTGCCAGATTTGGGGGGTGGGGGTGTGCAATCCCCATAATCCTGAGGGGCTGGCTGCCGGTGGCTGTGACCTCATGTGCCTCCATGATCAACTGCACTGGTGAGACCTATTACTGTGAGTCTGGAGTATGGACCCATTTAACTCTATGTAAACCTAAAAAATCAAGCTCCTGAACCTGAAAAACTGAACATTTCATACTCCCAAAATGATTGATGACATCTAGTTATATCACCTGGAAAGCCAGCTTGCCTCGATAACATATGTTTCCATTTTTCTAAAAGTGAAACCGTAATACTTCAACATAATTAAGCATCTGGCTTCTAAGACTAGTGGCTGAAGAGCTGTATCTGCAGTACTGAAGGCCATGGGTTTATTCTTTGATTGAAAAGAACAATTGAGCAAGTTAATGGCAAATCAATCAATATCAAGTCCATCCTTCCAGTTATTCCCAAAGGTCTTGGAACTACTCTTTAACAAACTTGTTCCCTCACCCTCAATCCATTATGAAATCCTGCAGACTGTACCTTGGAAATGTGTCCAGTTTCCTACCATTTTTCACCCCCTCCACTCCTACCACCCTGTCTGAGCCATAACACATCTCCCGTGCTGCCCTCCACCTTTCCTGCCTAGAGTTTACTCTCAACACGGCAGGCCAAGAGATCTTTATCAACCAGAAGCCAGAACACAGCACCACTTTCCTCAAAATCTTACCATGGAGAAATGTTAGTTCTCATACTTTTTCCTGTAATCATTTGTACACCTCAGTAGTGGAACTTTTCCTAAATAAAAGTCACTACAAGGCTTCATCTTCTTTTTTTTTTTTTCTTTTTTGAGACAGAGTCTCACTATGTCGCCCTCAGTAGAGTGCTGTGGAATCATCATAGCTCACAGTAACCCCAAACTTTTGGGCTTAAGCAATTCTCTTGCCCCAGCCTTCCCAAGTGGCTGGGACTACAGGTGCCTGCTACAATGACCAGCTATTATTTATTTATTTATTTTTTTTTTTTTGGTTGCAGGTGCCATTGTTGTTTAGCTGGCCCAGGTTGGGTTCGAACCCACCGGCCTTGGTGCATGTGGCCAGCGCTGTAGCCTCTGTGCCATGGGTGCAGAACCAAGGCTTCATCTTCTTAGGTCTCTATCTATGCATACATATGTATACTGAGTGTGAGATTCTTTCCATTCTCTATCCACATATTAAGTCTTTTACTATGTACTTCTTACATCTTGAAGAAGGCTGAAGATGGAATAATGCACTCTTCTTTTTGTAACCTGGCCAATGTTATTAAGGCATATATGTAGGGCATTGCTGAGTTAGGACTAAAGCTGAGACATCCTACTTGGAAGCCTGGTGATCTCTTCTG